TGTTCACGAAAGTACATCAGTGACACCAGCTTTCGCAAACTTTGGAAGAGAATTACGGCTGCCTGTAGACCTGATCACCGGGATAACACCTGATGCCCCACACAGTATAACCAATTATGCAAATGACTTGCGGAACAAAATGAATGACATTTACGAGCACGTAAGACAATCGGGACAGCAAATGTCTGAAAAGATGAAAACCCGGTATGACCGCAAAATAAACAACAAAGGGTTCGACGAAGGTTCGCTAGTGTGGTTGCACAATCCAGTCCGCAGCAAAGGGAAATCTCCTAAGCCAAGCTAAATGGGACGGCTCGTACCGGATTGTGACCAGGATCAACGATGTAACCTACCGGATACAGAAAGGCGCGAGAGGGACTCCTAAGATCGTCCATGTGGATCGCCTGGCGCGTTATTATGGGGCCGATAATGGTCGGGACGAGCATGTCTTAGGAGGGGGGCAGTGTTGCGCGGCTAAGTTGACATCTCATCTCATGGCACTAACGCCATCTAGTGTTGGGTAACAGAGCGAGAGAGATTTCCAGAAAATGACATGACAAATTTTTAACCGACAGCGCCATCTGTTGTCGAAACGAAGAACTAAGCTTCTAGAAGCCCGACACTCGTAATTTTCGATGCTTAGTCGATTGGCGCGCGTTTTTACTTCAATGTTCTGGATTTTTCGGTGCTAAGGTGTATTTATAGGCGCTGCAAGGTGCGATCGGGGAAGTATTGAAGTTGGCGAGACACGAGAATCAATGTGATTAATTATTAGTGTTTTTTAACTTTAATTATTGTAAAGTGAATTAAAGTGTTAATTTAGGTAATTCTATCGGCAATTTTTATTGTCACGAAGCTCAAGCTCGTAACAATTTATTATCAAGAGTTTTTCCTTGAACACCCAATGGCATTGTTAAAACTTTTACTTCAGCTCGAGTAATAGGATATTTAGCAGTAGTAGAAGCTAAAATTTTTTGATCTGCAAGTAATACGCTTAGATTAATTCGTGCTCGTCGAAAAATAATAGTTGCGTCCGTAATGCAAACTTTAAACCTTACATCCTTTGACCCAGCAATTAAATTAAAACTCTCTCTTGATCGAACCAATTTATCACTCATTTCAACAACATTAATTAAGAATTTATATTGGTTGAAAATGTCACCGTGAAGATGACCAATCATTTCTATTTCCTTACTTTCACTAATCAATTCTTGTCTTTTAACAAATCCTATGTTTTTACCATCTGTAGAATCCATTTTTCCTGCTGTATCGTCATACCAAAGACTACAAGTAAGATGAGATTGTTTAGCAGCAGGAGCATAGTTTAAAAGGGTTTGCATGTATGCTCGATATTAATAGGTATTATTAGGTGGTGATACAAGTTTTTGGTTTAAATATACATGAAGTTGACTAAAATGTGAATGCAGAAAATTATTTACAGGTGCCACTCTATTGTAGTAGATATTAAGTTAGTTGAATCTTGATTTAATACTTTTGCCTTTATGTGGAGTAATGTATGATACAAATCTATGTAGTCATCGCCTGTCCCAGGAACTTGAAACTCGGTAGGTCCATCATCACCAAGAGATGAAATTGGTTTATAATGAATCCACAATCCATTTTCAATGCTAGTTTGTGTAGTGTAAACAAATCTAATTCTGACAACGCACTCGCAAGAATGATTATGAAGGAAAGACATATTTAATTTGAAAATATATCTTTGATATTTTTTGGTTTTAGACCAAGTTTTTTCGCAGCTTCCACTTTAGCAGTTAATGGTGGAATGAACGAGTTCAATCGTTTTCTTTTAGTTTTATACCCAGATCCTGTCATGTTAAATTGATCAATTTTCTCATCAGCCTTTCGTTTTAAATTCGTACTAACTTGCTTTAGACGATTTTTTATAGAGGCTTCCATAGGACGCGCTTGGATCATATCCGATAAAAGTCCTATTCCAGCGCTTAATGCCTCCTTACCAATCACTCGAGCACCACTTGAAGGTAAAGGTAAAACTAATCTAAATAACCCCCCTAAGAAGCTCCCAATACCATGACCGCGTTGGTATGGTGAACCCTTATAAATTACTCCAACTCCTGACCCAGCTTGATGTGTATAATAATTTTCATATGGAGATTTATGATGATCACTAAGACAATTCATTATTACAATTTTCGGAAATGTAGTTTAATACACATGGTTTCAAACTGGAATGGTATTTTTTATCTTGTGCTCGATCTTATAACTATTTCCAGCGTATCGAACTCTCTTCGAATAACAGGTAAGTAGTGAGGTTGAGAGAAAACGTGCGTTTTATTTGCACCATAAATGTATTTTGTAGGATCTAATGAAATGACTCTTAGTAAAGGAGTCATAACATCACCCACAATCTGAGGATCGATAATGTCGCAGTATAGAAATCCCTCCTACAACAATGGAATGATATGCAGTTGAAGATATTCTTACGATACCACTATACGGCGACTTTTGATTTAGATTTTTTGATTTCGAGCTACCACGGCGCAGTATTATAGTTGTAAACGAAAACAATATAGTTCTAATCTATAATTAACATAACCATTTGCATTTTAACTAGCTTTGAAAAGTAATTAGGGGTCAATCGTTGTGAATGATGTTGTTTAATTGCTATAATTTGGCTTTATAATAATATTCCATATTAACCTTTAAACTTAGCTGTATGTAATTAAGGAATTATAATTGTGTAAGTTTCTATTGCAAATAGCATAGTCACTGTTACTTTAGAAAAACAATTATAGATATGTACGTATTTATAAGCGACTGTAGCCTAATGGCAGGGCGCGGACCGCGAACTCAAAAAGGTCGTGGGTTCGAATCCGCCATTCGACTACTGGCGTGAACCACTTGTAACACAAGCAATTTAAGCTTACCACGAATGGTTAACGGAAATATTTGTAATGTTTATAACATTGTTAACATTCTTTTTAGAAAAAATTAAAATTAAATTAAATTGAATTTTACAATCATAATTCAATGTGTGATATCATAATATATATAAGTCGAGTCTTGGGGGCGACTAAATCTAGTCCAGTTTAACCCCCAGAAGACACAAGTTTGCGCGTTAACCGCTAAAAAGAACCCCTTTGTCGTATCTCCTCAGTTTCAAGGCACTCCCCTTGTTGCCTCAGCCAGTATCGGAATCCTCGGCGTCGGCATATCGAGTGACGTGCAGTTTCGTGGTCACTTGGAAGAGAAGGCCAAATTGGCCTCTAAAAAGCTTGGCGTGCTCAGAAGCGGGACAGTATTTCATGCCGGCACACCGCCTGCAACTTTACAAGGCGCAGGTTTGGCCGCACATGGAATACTGTTCCCATCTCTGGGCTGGGGCTCCCCAGTACCAGCTCCTTCCACTTGACCGCATCCAGCGCAGAGCGGCTCTAATCGTCGACGACCGAGTGCTTTCCGATCGGCTGGATTCACTGGCACTGCGAAGAGATGTTGCATCTCTTTGCATTTTTTTCGCATTTACCATGGAGAGTGCTCTGAAGAATTGTTCGGATTAATTCCAGCCGCCAAATTTCGTGAACGCACTACGCGGCAAACGTCCCGATATCATCCACATCATCTGGATGCTTGGCGGTCCACCACTGTATGTTTCAAGAGGGGTTTTCTTCCGCGTACTATCTCTCTGTGGAATAGTTTACCACCAGCGATTTTTCCGGACCGATACGACCCGGGGACCTTCAAGAAAAGAGCGTACTCCTTTCTAAAGGGCCGGCAACGCACCTGCAATTCCCCTGGCGTTGGGCTTGATCATGGGCGGCGGTAGTCACTTAACATCAGGTGAGCCGCATGCTCGTTTGCCTCCTCTTCTATAATAATAATAATAATAATAATGAAGCTTAAAAGCATGTCATCTCAGGTTGTTCGGCGCTTCTTAACTCGGAGTGCTTGCATAGACACAACCTAGTAGCCAGAATCCTACACTAGGAGTTCGCTCTGAAATGCGGTTTCATGGATCGGAAACCGCCTTATTATAATTGCCACCTAGCCATCATCACAGATAGGACTATTCTTCCGAATAAGCCTGATATTGCGCTGATAGACCGAGCTCAGTCAAGGATATTTTAGCCGACATTACCATTTGGTATGTAAGATAGTTAGCGAGGTGACCGACATGTGGGGTGGTCTGTCAACCCAAATTATTCCTGTAGTTATTTCTGCGAAACTAATGAGATAACTGGTTGGTTTTTATTTATTCACGTATTTTTTATTTTTTTTTACTGTATTTAAAGTATATTCATCGTATTTTTAATATATTTATGTAGCCCAACCAGGTGGAAAAATATTTTTATACACCATAATGATAATGCTTAATAATTATGAATAATAAAGAGACAGAAGCCTAAAGACATTGCGCGAACCACGAACGCTAAAGATCGTGGGTTCGAACCCGCGATTCGATTATTGTCATGAACAACTCCTAACACAAGCATATTAATATAACCAGGAGTATTAAAAGCATTTTATTCCTTATAAATTCCTTTTTTAAATCAATTTTGTAATCGTTTAAACGTGCCCTTTTTTGTAAAACTAAAGTGACAATGGAAACCCGCAGCAAATTTTATACAAAGAAGACTACAATAATTTCGTTGTCATCCCCAGAGGACTAAGATCGAATGCCTTCAACTATACTGGCTCTCTTTACCCTTTAGACCGAAATAGGTAAGAGAGTAACATAAACCCCAATGGATTCCTAGGTAGAAAAGAGAATCCTACCATCTAGTATTAAGAAATAACTATTTTGTTAATCTAAGCTAGTGATTGGATTACCCGGGGTATGTTCACTTACATAAGCCAATAATATATATATATATAACGGTTATCAATCGTAATTTTAATTTTTTTGTCGCAAAATTTAAATATTTCATTTCTTTTTCACAACATGGTTGAGTATGTTCTACGATATATGTGTTACGATAACAGTCTGATGATTATTATACTTTTTTGTCCTTTTTTAGACAATGTCGAGACCAGATGGAATCGAAGATATTTACGAATCGATAGAAAGACACTATGCTGGTAAATCAGTTTTCATCACCGGTGGCACTGGATTTTTGGGAAAGGTATTGTGTCACATTTTTAACTTTCCGCTATGAAAATCAATGTTTTCTAAAAATCCGACAGTTATTCAGTTATTGGTCCACCCCAGTTTTAGAAAATCGAGATTTCATCAGATCTTAACGTTTTGAGGTCCTAGGAAGCTATTCTGACTATTCTTGTGCGTGTGTGTGTGTGTGTGTGTGTGTGTGTGTGTGTGTGTGTGTATGTGTGTGTGTGTGTGTGTGTGTGTGTGTGTGTGTGTGTGTGTGTGTGTGTGTGTGTGTGTGTGTGTGTGTGTGTGTGTGTGTGTGTGTGTGTGTGTGTGTGTGTAGGTGTGTTGCGCGCGATTTGCGCGAACTTGGTGACGTTCAAAAGGGTTTCACCAAATTTACATTAAAAAGTGTCATAGAACAGGTGACTTTTGATTAATAATGAGACGTTCTATTTTAGTTTTAAGAAGTAACAACGCATCTAAATTTTGATTCTTATCAAGGATAGTTAAAGGCTACAGCTTCATCTTCCATTAGGTGAACTAGATGCCTGTTTGTCACCATTATTCCATAAAAAATCTATTTTATTTTTCAGGTTTTTATAGAAAAATTATTATACAGCTGTTCAGAGATAAACAAAATTTTTCTACTATTACGAAATAAAAATAACTCTGACACTTCTGAGAGAGTTAAACAGCTATTGGAATTACCGGTGAGTTTTAAAATTGAAATAAAAGACGTTCGTTTGCAAATCCGTAAAGTTCTAGACTCACCTCGAATCTTTATATTATATCTTTATATGTATTATACATATAATATTTAGCATTAAAATATTTTATTTTTGGGGTTTACAATTAAAATTTCAATATAAGGAACATATTACAAAAAAGAACCTTAAAATAAACAATTAATAATTCAAAATCAAATCCAAATCAGATAATTGGGCGTCTATCCATTACAGGGAATCGACGTTCCGCTATCGGGCTCGTGGGCAATGTTCGCTTCAACTCCTCCGTTAGCTGCTCGCCTCTTCCCACTGATTGTTCTACACTTACCCCCATATATATGAAAGTGTTATTTAAATCGTTTAAAACGTTTTAACTACCAGAAGATCAGACCGATCAGGCGAAGGTACAATGTTACTAACATTGTATCTTCGTTCGATCTGACTTTCCCCAGTGGAGCTATGTACAGCATGTTTGTAAATTAAAAGGAAACGTAGGAGTACAGTATACTAATAGTAGTACTCGTTGTGAGATGGATTTAATGACCACCTTCTTTCTAGTTTTATCTACGTTTTTCACCGCTCCATTTAAAGACGGGTGATACGGTATTGACAACATGTGCTCTGCACAATTTTTATTATTTTATTTTATTATATCTCTTTAAATGCTTTGGTAGGCCAAAACGCAATCACAGTTCACTTAAATTAGTGACAACATTGTTTGCGGATGTAGATGTCATTTTCGACTTCAGCCATTTACTGCAGGAGTCCAAAACTACCATGTAAGTCACCCTCGCGATGGGGACGAAAAAATCAATGTGCACTGACGGCACACGCTCTCCACGGCCTCGTCAATGCACGGCCACCATACATAACTACGAACCAAGCACTTCTTCTTCATAATGCCCATGTGTGAATCGTTTAAATTCTATTTATTAATCATAGGAAGAAAGTACTAAAGCCCAACGTTGTTACCCGCTCGCCGTCGGTATGCCGTTATCAGAGCTAAAAATATTAATAAGTGGTTTGTTATCCTATCGTAGATTTAAATAGCGTCCGTACAAATATTGGTGAAATTTTACCCCGTATAGTGCCTCCTTGTGAATATAGCCGTAGGTCATCTCAACTGCATTGAGTTCGCGAGGTGCGTACGCTAGGTCTTGGATTGCAGGATTACTCCCAGCCCGCGAGAACTCGCATCGCATGTAACCACAATAGGCCGCGATAGGTCGTAATGTTTTAATATTTCTGTTTTGATCAATAACATTTTTATTTCATTAAACATTTTCGATTGATTTTTATTCCAAACCCACGGTATCCCCTTATTCAAGAGCTCATACAGACGTCCCAAATAAAAACTTACGTTTTTAACAAAGCGCCCATAAAAATTAATCATACAGAGAAACGATCCTAGTTCAGATTCGTTATTATGTGAAGACATATTTAAAATCGGCTTTTTTTTCGGGTCTATTTTGAAATCATTTCCATTTATTATGTAACCTAAGTATCTTACTTGTTGAACGAAAAAGACATATTTTACTTTCTTTATTTTTAATCCGTATTGCGACAGCCTTTTAAGCACTAAATCTAACTTTTTACGTGAATTTTCTTGTCAGTACTTATTTTACTTAAAATGTCATCTAAAAGTACCGTAACGTTTTGAACACCTTTAAAAAGCTTTATCATGTGATGTATTCGAAAATCCCTGGGCTCGACGACAACCCAAAAATTAATCGATTATACCTGATTAAACCAACACACACACACGCACGCGCACACACACAGAACACACACACACACACACACACACACACACACACACGCGCGCGCGCGCGCGCACGCACACACGCACACACACACGCACACACACACACGCACGCGCACACACACACACACACACACACACACACACACACGCACACACACACGCACACACACACGCACACACCCACACACACACGCACACACACGCACACACGCACACACGACACCCACACACACGCACACACACACGCACACACGACACACGCACGCACGCACGCACGCACCACGCACGCACGCCACACGCACACACACACACACGCACACACGCACACACACACGCACACACGCACGCACGCACGCACGCACGCACGCGCGCACGCATGCACGCACGCACGCACGCACGCACGCACGCACGCACGCACGCACGCACGCACACACACACACACACACACACACACACACAAATAAATATTTACAAAACAAAACACTAGTAGATGTACATATATGCACTGTATTTTGTAAAATGCGTAATGGCGTAATGACTACTCTTTAAAAATAACCCTGTATTATTTCCCATCCCAGCTCGTCATCAAAGTCTTAAACCTAGAAAAAATTTCATTAAAAATAACTCCCATGTCTTTTACGTTATAATTTTCTTTCAACTTGTTAATTTTATTTTTGGTGTCCAACTTTTTTTACATTGTCTTCACTGAAATGTTCGATATACACAATTTCGTCGTAAAAGATTGGTGCTGCAAAATGCCACATGCTGCACAAACCCGGGACGACGTTTCCATAAATTTATGTCTACGAGGTTTGTGCTAAGTCGTGCGTGCGCGGTGACACTTGCAGTTTCCACCAAACACTTTTGGAGTCCCTCGACAAGTCAACCAATTCACTGTCCACTGTCCATTTATGATGAATCTCGTGCCACTTATTCTATTGTAGTTGCAATTTAAACAACTGTTGCTCCATACAGGTTCTCCTCTACAAATAATCTTTGACCATATTGCTATATAGCGAACAAATTAATCTCGCAAATTTTCATTCAAATTATTTTTAAATTTACAGCAGCATGATAACATCCTCTCATTTTATTTTTGTTTACGTTGACGAAAACGATATCGTTCCGATAGTATGAACAATTTCGGCTGTAGATGGTATAACATAATTTCAACAACTACATCATACGACATAATGGGGGGTTTCTGTATGCTACATAAATTAATTATTAATTTGAATGCATATTCACTCATAAATGACACCAATGTAGGCAATTTGTTTTCTCCTCAACACCATTTGTAACAAAATACATTTCAATTCTTTCCGTATACAACATCCATTTAAAAAGAATATTAACAAATGCTATAAACATTACTAATATTCCCCTTAACCACTCGTGGTAAGCTTAAATTGCTTGTGTTACGAGTGGTTCACACCAGTAGTCGAATGGTGGATTCGAATTTCCTTTCATCACATTGAATTCTCCCAAATTTCCAATTAAGTACATATTTTACAATCAATATGACGTTTAAGATTAAAACTATAACACAAGTACACAGTCTGAACTAAAAGACGTTGGTTTGCATTTCCCTTTTCGTTTTCCAATTACCCACTTATTCATAACATTACAAAAACTTGGTGGTTGCATAAATGTACGTTTTATTTAGTTAGTTTGGTCAGGAAAAATAGATTAGAGAAAATTGTGAAAGAGTTGATGTTACTTAGGTGTCAAGTAGGTGGACTATTCGCCTTGTACGACATACCAGGCAATATACAGTGTTGAATAATTCTTTTTGTTAAAATTCTCACATAAATATGGCTCCTGTAAGACCTCCACGGAACAGTAATAGGAGTCTATTACAATCATAATATAAATCACGTGCTCGCTTGTCGCCCTTATATGTTTTGTACATTAAACTGGTAATGTGGCATTATTGCCCATTCTGATAATAATTAATTAAAAGCCTTTATTTAGCTTTATACTTAGCCTTTTAATTCAATGACTGCGTTTCACAAACGAAACGAGAAAACTCTTCAGAGAGGAAATGCAACCAGCGTTCTTGGCACGATACGACGACGGGAACGGACTGTAATATAAATTATTTTTTTAAACTATTGTATGTATTTATTTCAATAAAAAATTATTAATCAAATTGGAACTATAACAGACAGCTTGAAAATTTATTAAGAACCAATTTTTACAGATATTTGAACGAGTTAGAAAAGAGAAACCGGAAAACTTTGAAAAGATTGTGCCGTTATGCGGAGACGTAACTCTGCCTAACCTTGGTTTAAGCCAAGAAGACGAACAAATGTTGATAGAAGAGGTAATAAAAACAATTTTACAAAACTTGCGATAGTTAATATAACTATATTACATTTCACTGTAAAGGGTAAGTTTCCACGTCTACAACAAATAGGTGGTATTTTTTGCACATAGCATCAGCAGGAAGGGGTGGTTTCGATCAAGTATGAGATGATTTAGCAATCCGCTTTGGCTTCGCAGAAATGATTTCTGGATCTTGACAACAGCGCTGCCTAGTAGTATTCAATAAAATTAATAATTTCTCTTATTTACGCGAATATTACACATTGAATAAAATATTTTTAAGAATTTCATCAAGTTGCAATGAGTTACATTGCACATATCGAACGCGAAGCGGAGATTTGTGCAATGTAAACTACTTAATTTCAAATATAATTTTATACGTGGGAGTGCCACGCTGCAGATATATAATGGTTCTAGCACGAATGAGTGGCTCAACAGGGCAAGGGATATGCTCTCGGAGAATACAAGTGTAAAATAACAGCTTAATACTGCTGCGTTTCTTCTGGTGAATGCAGGTGGCCGGAGTCCCGACTTCTCCTCCCCCTCTCGATCAACATGGTAGCGGCATTAAATAAGAGATTACACCAGGAGAGTACTAGAACCCCTGGTTATCTTTCGATTTTTTGATCGTTTAGACTCTTAGCCTCCTCCTTCAAAAGAGTCATTGCTAGGGCAAGGTCTGAACACATCGGTAGAATTTGCGAGAAACAAATTCGTCTTCCTCCGGGAACCAGCGCATTCTGGTCTCTCGCCAAAGATGTCCAAGTGAACTTCTGTCAGTCACCTCTTCTATCTCTGCACAGAGAGCGACTCACCGGCACACTCCTGGCGCAAAGGAGAAATACAATTTGTAAGGCTCTCTCTTTGCGTCCAACTCGACTCTAAATGAAGGAGGGAAAACACCGCCGGCCATCCCGCGGTGTGAGTGCTATATTCATAATATGCGATTCACCCATTGCTCAGTACGTAAAACACTCCTCTCCCTGGAAATCCATAAGTCGAGTGGGCCTGAAGGAATTCTCCCCATTGTGCTGAGGACGTGCACTCCGGAGTTGGCACCGGTTGCAACAAATTTTTTCCGGTACTCCTACTTCCTATGTGTAATTTCAAATTCATAGAAGACAGTTTTCATGCACCCAATCCCTAAAAATCACAACCGCTTTAATCCAGTAGGATAGGCCTATCGCCACCACCTCCCTGTTCTTAAAAATAATGGAGTCGATTATTAAGCCAGCTCATGCGGTACCTTAAGGAGCACCAGCTGATTAGTGACTGCTAGTGCAGTTTCCGTCAGTGTCGCTCAGCTGGTGATGTTCTTGTTTATCTCACACACAGATGGGTGAAAATGTAATTAATTTTATTACATTTTCGAATGTCCATTTTTCGTAGCCGACTTTTAAACAAACTTCTCGAGTCTTGAATTCGTCCATACACCTGACCAGACGTAGTTTTACCTTGGGCGACCCACTCATGGAAACGAAGGCCAGACTCCTCATGTGCCTTTTTGAAATGCTTGTTCAAGCCTATAACATACCTTGTCTTCTTTTTTATACTTACAATTTTAAAACATTCTATCGCAGCTTCTTTGAGTACGCTTACTACATTTTAATAAAATTTGTCAATTATTTGTCTACGTGTATATCTGCGCAGTCTTGAAACTCGCGAGGAAAATCAATATCACGCAACTTATTTGAGAATATGTATAGACTCCTATCCACCTGTTCTTTAACTTTTTTACCCCAGACAACCCTATCCGGCACTGAGCCTCTTAATTGTACTTTAGGTACCAAAATATAAAAGTCACATAACAATTCGTCTACGAAATGATTGAAACATGACACCTCATACCGTAAAATTGCGCCCAGAATATTATCTTTGCGACTATAGTAGTGATGACGTAGGCCAACCATGATGTAATTTCATAAACACTTTACTAAGGAATGTATATGCACTCAAATCTAGCTCCAAACATTCTATGCCTGTCCTGTGCAGGCATAGAATTCACCTTTTTTCAGTACAGAACTCCAAAATCTCAAAGCCAAACAAAGCGCCTGGATCAGCGTCAAAATTGCCTAGTATCATACTCTGTATTTATACTGCACGTCTCTATAATAGCACTAATCTCACCGAGGGAATTTATAAGTGGTGCAAAATTGTCAGGTCAATATGGTTCGTGACCATCAAACACTACCTTCACAGCCACTACCTATACGCTCACTATAACAGTCTACGATCGAAACCGATGAGAAACCACTTTTATGTCAAAGAAGAGCCACGCTGCCATACGGTCTGCCCTTCAGCATACCCGATGAAATATCCACTGAAGATTTCGCAGTGTACGTAAAATCGTGATCTATTTCCCCTAGATATGAAATGTCGTACGGTGGTAGCCATGTCTCTTGTAAAGCTACAAAGTCTGCCGTTGAACAAAATGCATGAAAGTGTTTGACGAAGCTCTTCACTAAATAGCAGCTAAAGCTCTCAAATTTAGTTTGGTTTATTCACTTGTTTATTCTGAAAGGAATTAATAATATGTAAATAAAACGCGATAAAATCTGTAAAAATAGTTTTATTTAATAAAAATTATATGAAAATAGTTTAGGAGGATATTTACAGTACAATAAGAACTTGTAATAAAATCTGGAACTTATTTGAACTGTTAGTAATATGGACTTATTAACTAGTATATTGATCCACAGCAGTATACGTAATTCCTCTCGCATATGAAACTATATCTTTTCTTATTTAAGTGCACTGAGTGAGTGTCTTATAGATTATCTGCAGCGTTATTAATTGCATGACCTTTGGATCTTTATCATCTTCATCATCTTTACATTAAACTAAAGTTAATTGCACTTATATGCTTGTAATGCCACCATTCTGTCGGAGAGTATGCTTAGAGACTTGTTATTCACTTTTATGTTCACGAATGTTGATCCACTTAAATAATGCCTAATGTTCATATACTCGGCTAAAATAAATATTTTTTGGACACCTGGTGATATTTATATAATAATAATAATGTCCTCCAGACCGAATTTCGGCCACGGCGGCCTGCCTCAACGGAGGCTAGCTATCGGCGCAGGACAGGATTATAGTGCCCAAGTGTATGCGCAAGTACAGGTGCACTCTCTATTCCCTCACTCTCATAATCCGATGGGACGGTAAGCCGACACGACCGGAGAGAGATCAGGCACAGCGCCAACGGCTTTACGTGCTTTACGAGGCACGGGGGTGAAACATCGCCAACTTTCTGACTCCGGGCAGCTACTGAGAATTTCTTGACAGAAAAACTAAAAACAATAATTAATTTTTTGGCCCGACACGGGATTCTAACCCAGGACCTCATGATCAGCAGTCGCACTACTACAACCACTAGACCAACGAGGCAGATATTTATATATTATATATGTTTAGTACTTAAATACTAATCTTAATCTAAGGATATATCTAACCTTGACTTGACATTGATAAATTGTGCTTCACTGATTAATGTACATATTATGTGTCTCCTAAAGTTGAAATGTGTACTTTTTGTCGAATACAACTAATCTGGGATTGGTGTTTAGCTTATTTTTAATAAAAATACAAAATAATTAAATTAAAATTAATGTATTTCAGGTATCCCACGTATTTCATTTTGCGGCAAACGTTAAATTTAACGAAAATTTGAAAGTTGCCATGAAAACTAACGTAGAAGGAACAAGAAGAGTGGTAAATTTATGTCAGCGCATTATGAATATCGAAGTAAGGAAAATATCTGACATATTATGATATGTATCTGTAATAAAAATAACATTGACATAGTTGTTAAAAGTAGCGAAGTTTCTTTGCTGGGGTATGAATCAAATATCTATTTTGATTAAACACTGCATGACATTTGGGTTTTGATAGTAATAAATCTCACCAAAAACATAGTTGACAAGTTCGGTGCAAATGACGTTCGGAATTACTTCACCGATAAAATAGTTGAGATCTAAAAGTGCGCCAAGCACCACAGCAGTTCTAGGAATGTTCTTGCAGATTCTATAATTTAAACAGCAAATAATAAAATATTACAAAAGTGTAGATCCAATAGCTTTTGAGTTATGGGGGATTAGAATGTGGTTCAAAATCATTAATGTAAATATAATTAGTACCGGTGCGACGGTTGTTTCTTTTCCAAACAAGACTGCCATCTGTCTATATAAACTTCGTTTCTTTTTTATCTTTTACTACTTGTCTAGCGTAATACCATAAACAACAATAACGTTGCACACATAATTGCCGTTATCGTTATAGTCGAATAGGGATGCTCAATCACAGTAACAGACATCCCGCGTCTCTCACCTTTACGGTGCTAGTATGGATTTTTGTCATTTATAATTGACAAATTAAAATTACATAAAAGCAAAATAAAATGTATAAATTCCCTGAAAATCCCTAAAGACCAAACCACACCAGACTCATTAGTTGTGTTTGGGATATACAAGGTTTTATCAATTATCACTATTCACTGTACAATTTTATAATCGGCACGGCAAGGGGACGTTCAAGTATTACGTTACGCAACTTTTTAACTTTTTTGACCCACCTTCCCCCCACGTAACGCGCTGTAACGTTTTACTTTACCCTCCCTCTCCTCCTTAAACGTTACGTAATATCCATGTGACCATTTTTACGTAAAAGTCACAAAGTATCGAAAAATCGCTAAAATGCCTTTGTTGTTGTTTTGATCGCGTTTACGGTAATAATAAATAATGGTTTATATGTTATATACCTACCTATGTGTAATATTTTAGCAGTAAACTTAGCTGTGCAAAATAATTAAGCATTGTTGCTTTCTTCTTTGTGGCTTTCACCTTGAACTCTCTTAAAAAATCATTTATGTTCTATAAACTATTCTTTATTTTTTAATTTTTTTTTCAGCCGTCTTCCAAATTTCGTTGGCTTTTATGTACCATAAGTTGCGCTGGAAATTCAGCATGAGAGTATATTTAGGCCAAGAATAGCTGATAATGCAAATCTCCCTCTTTTGACGACATTGCAGTATGAATTAGCTTTAACAATACTTACTACAGCAATGTGCTTCTGCGTAAACACTAATAAATCCTGATAACGAATACAAAATAAAAATGACGTACCATACCGTTGAGGGATTCCCCGCAAAACATAGACGAAAAGAGTTGCCAACTTGGAAGAACTAAATAAATATAATATAGTCGAGGAATTCCCCGCAAATCGTAAGCGAAAAGGGTTGCCAACATGGGATATTTTAATTCTCTAGTTTTTTATTTAATAAAAAAAATAATGTTACATAACAGTTTATTTGAAACCCCTTCCCGACCCTGTAACGCATCGTAATGTTTTTAAAGACCCCCCTCTCCCCAAATTGTGTTACGTAATACTTGAACGGCCCCTTCGTTTTTGTAGACTGTTCCAATAAACAGTGTTTTAATGGAGTACGTAACGTGCAACACGTTACTTTTTATTAATAATTTTACCTCAGCTTATAATAAGACAATTTGAATGTTTATCTAAGATATCATAAATATAAATGATTCTTTTTTCTCTTCTAAAGTCTAAATATTTTGCGATAATATTTTTCAAGGTTTTCGTGTATGTATCTACGGCTTACTCTAACACAAATGAACCAGTTCTAGAAGAAATTGTTTACACAGCCCCTGTTTCAATTGATGAAGTATACGAAATTCTTGAACAGGAAGTATCGGAAGTATCCAATGAAGACAAATTAAAAAAACTTCTTTGTAAGCAAAATTATATTTTATTGACATTAAAGTACTTAACTTATTGAGTTCTGTCTTATACTATTAAGCAAACTATCCACCTGATTGTAAGTGGATTCTGTAGCCCATAGGTACATCCCACCTCGAACATGAAGTGTTTCCTTATCAGTAAAAAGTGTTTTCGGCTCTCATTACTTACCAGACGAAGCACCGAAGCACTATGTCAATATTCCGTGGAGCTTTCACCATTACCTACCCATTAGTGCTACAAACACAACCTGCAGTTTTACTTTAGCATTTTATTTGTTCATTTATATGTTATAACTATCTTGCCAGGCCGACGTTGTTCTTCCCTTTTCGGCGACTCTTTGTCATGTCCTATTAAAAATCCTTAAATTCACAAAAAAAATTGTGGGTCACTCATGGACAAAAACTATCCTATCCGACTGAACTTGGATCGAACTGCTCACGGTGTGCAAATTTGATTAAAATCGGTTAAGTAGTTTAAGAGTCCATCGCGGACAAACAATGTGACACTTAATATAGATGAAGATTTACTTATATTAAATTTATTTTTTAAATTTTATTTTATGGCTCTTGTTATTTCATTATTAAAATATTAAGAATTACTTACAAAAATAAAAACATATTGAAGAATAGAGGTTCCTCAAAACACTGTTCTGGTATTATTTCAGGTGGCAGACCAAACACTTACACTTTTGCAAAAGCACTAGCGGAAGGTCTTGTGAGTCAAGAACATGGTGATTTTCCTACAATAATCATCAGACCATCCATTGGTATGTAATACTGATTTATAAGAAAAATATTTCTACTTACATCACAGAAGTGGTGTATCAAAAAATATTAAATGCTATTTATTTGACACTGGCAATCTGACTTGGAGGTTTTGGAAATGAGTTAGACGTGAGTAGAGTATGATTGCCTGAATCATAAAGCAACACGGGCTATCGTCGGACCAGAGGCGTGTAGCCATAACATATTTCCTCGATACAGTAGAACTGTCTGTCATTTCTTGCGGGGGGAAGTCTATGCACATGTGTTGTGTTTAAAAATTACAGATACATGAAAGGTAAAGCCATCTTTTTGTAAATTTGACGTGATAGATTTCTTTTTGCTGCAAAAACCTGAACAAGTCAGAATTTTTGTAAGAGGTCGATTTAGCCTCGCAACTAAACTTATTCTAGTGATCCAAGGTCTAAATTTACTTATACTTTGACCGAGGGGAACGCCTGCATATGACTACTGTCCTCCGATCCTCCGGTGGCCCGTTTTGCTCTATGGCATGATATAATAATGATTTTTATAATAATGAATAATAAAAATTTACAATAACATTCACATATTAAAGGTAAACAGATATTCAGTAGCTTCGTAGCAATTATAAACTTTAAGCCAATTTATTATTTTAGTTTTAATTTGAAGATTGCCTTAGCTATTTAAAAATTTATTATATAGTAATGACGCTACGTAATAAAATTGTCTTTTGGCAGAGGCACTGTATATTCTATGGACTGAGGAATCTTCCCTCTTCATTTCTTCTATTATGTTTTCTTTTACTGTCAAGTTGATTGTGTGCAGAGAATGAACACATAATGTTGAAGTCTTGGAGTAAAAAGTTTGGATTTAGATTTTATATATTTATATAATCATACTTTGGTAGTTCAGGTATTAGAGTAAATACCATACATACGTATGCATAGAGAGAACTTACAATTCTACGTAAATTAAGTGAATATACCCTTCTCGCTTTTTTTAATTTATTTTTAAAGACAAAAAGAGACAAATCTGTTGGAAGATGTTGCGTATAATTCATGCGCGGAAATAGAAATGTCAAGTGGATATCTTTTGGCATTTGTGGTTTTTGCAGTGGCCACTTACCATCAGGATTGCAGTACATTGTTTTAAGTAAACTAAAAAATGCTGGTTTACCGTGCAACTTGCAAAAATATGAATTTATTTGCATAAAGACAGATCCCGATAAGATTCGGAGAATTCAAGAATTTCCAGCGCCCAAAAAGATTTTTATGTCTTTGCAATTTTTTTAGAAAGTTCATTCCAAATTACAGCGCAAGTGTATATTACTAGAAAAGGGACGTAAGTTCCAATGGAGCGAAAAAGAATAGAAGGCATTTGATTACATAAAACAGCAATTTATTAATACAATACAATTGCATCATCCTGGTTTTAGTTATAAATTATTTGCAAGCAGACTGTTGCGGTGTGGGTAAGGCCGGAGTACTATATCAGAAAGATGATAATAATAAAATGAGAACATTAAGCTTAGACTGTAAATTCGTTTGCTACTTACATAAGTTATATAAAACAAACATGACTATACTGATTTCGTAAATGACTATATTTTCGATTTCAGTATCAGCAAGCATGCACGAACCACTAACGGGATGGGTGGATAATTGGTTCGGTGCAACAGCCCTAATCGCCACAATTGCTATGGGTCTTGTTCGTGTTGTACTTACTAAGAGCACTAACACTTTAGACCTAATACCTGTTGACTATGTATCCAACCTCATCGTTGCGGCAGCTGCTAAGTGCAAAAGGTACGATAACACGTTTTTTTTATGTTTTGTAAATACGAGTACGACAAAAAAGCAACAATATTTTATTTAAGGTACTTAGACTATCTGAAAATTTAAAAAAATATACTAGCACTAGCCTACCTCTCATCAGTCTGAAAGCAACTCACTGCTCTAAATACACCTGAATTTGCTGTAACCTTGAGTGAGGTCCAGTTAGTAGGAATGATGGTAGCTAAGTGTACGGAAAACTTACGAAATAAGTTTCGTAAGTTTTCCGTACACTTGTACGCCACGGTGGTGCTTCCTTGGTATGAGGTGAAATATTTGAAAAAATCATGGCGGGGAAGTTAAATTATTAGAAAAGCGTAACGCTTAGTTAAATATTAATAATATCTTTTATTAATGATTTCTTATATTTACGCGAACACTATACATTGATTAAAACTACTTTTACGGATTTTATCGAGTTTTATTTATTTTATTTTTAATGGGTGCTGAAAGTACCCGAAACATCGGGTATTAAAAATAAAATAAATAAAACGCGATAAAATCCGTAAAAGTAGTTTTAATCAAAATATCTTTTAATATTCAAATTTATTTAAAAATTAATAAAACATAAGAAAGTTTGCCGACAGAGCCATTGACAGATCGGCAGTGGCCGTCGAGCCACTGCCGATCTTTCAATGGCGTGCTGCCTCCTTTCACTTTTGCGGAGTGCGTCTCTCATTGAAGGAACAAAATGAAGCCACCAATGTCTGAAATGAAGGTAGGGCAGAGCGTGAAATTCTAGCAACTACTGTAGAATAACGCTTTGAATAAATGCCTACATTACCTAGGTAATGTTTTTACCAGTTGGTATCTCATACCAATATTAATATTCGAGTCTAGTTATTTCGTACCAGTACGGAAATTCCTACAAGCGATAAAATGTATGAATAAATTTGTTTTTTATTTTGCTTATGTTTTATATTATAATTCCATCCTGATGATAGACTCTGTGTTGAGAACCTTGAAGCACTCCTTATTGGGCTCTGTAGGGGAGATCGAGTACGACTCTTGGCTGTTGAACTTTGTTTTTCTTCACGACGACGCCAACATCTTTTCAACAGTTCTTTATAATTTCGTATCTTCTTTTTCAATTTTTTTTACATATCGAAAATATTGGATATATATTATATTCCCATATCAACATAGACTTAATATTTTTAATATTTAACTAAATATGCTCAAATATAACATTAAATTTGAAGTATTAATTCAATTTTAAAACTACATCCTATGCGATGAACGCGCGAAAAAAAAGTATCAAATCCAAGCTATCATACCATAGAGCTTAGATTTTGTTTTAATCTATTCTCTAAGAGAGTCAGAAAGCCTGAGACAAGCGAAAGGGATACTACACTGTTAATCAATTATATTTTAGATAACCGTAACATAATTAAACCTTATTTACACACACACACACACACACACACACACACACACACACACACACACACACACACACACACACATACACACACACACACACACACACACACACACACACACACATATATATATATATATATATATATATATTTAAAACACGCGACAAACATTGCCCTTCATACAACAAGTTTAATTTTCAGATCAAAAGAAGTATCTGTCTACAACTGTTGTACAAGTGATGCAAATCCATTCACAGTTGGTCTACTTGGGAAACTTATTACTGAAGACAGCGTGAAACACAATTTTCGTAAGTTTGTAAAACGGTGCTTAATCAAACAAATCTAAAAAACAATAGAGCAACAAACATAAAATTATTTCTTCATCAAACATTAGTTCGACGATTAAAGCGACCTTCAGTAGGTAGGTGGGACTCTAATGGGGTAATATGGCGTATTGAATTATTTTACTTTGCCACTTTAACGGCATAAAATAAATAAATAAATATATATATATATATATATATATATATATATATGCTACAATGACGCGAAAATTACATCATTTATAAAAGCACTGAACGCGCTAAAATTGCGATTCCGAAGCCGAACAGCTTCAATAAAAAGGAATTTAGACTTTTACACTATCTACTTTTTTTGCTACTTTTTGAGAACACTAAGATGGAATGATTCTTTTTCAGTAAAAATGGTCTCCGGATCAGCACTCATCATGCAAACATAGTTGCATTAACCTGCTGCTATTTATGTTGGTTTTCTTTTGAGAGCGTGATCCTATGCCGGCTGAGCCGATCCATTCGAGCTACAACCATAGCTGCAGACGGACTCTACTACTATAACACCTAAGCTCGATAAAATGCAGATATTTTCCTAATCTTCTCCACACCATCAATCCACAAAGCTCGGTCCTCCTGCATTCGTCAACTTCTTGCATATCTTGCCATACCTTCGCTCTATCTAGTGGGGCTGGGCGAAAGGCTATATGGGCGGCTTTTATTTATATGTATTTATCTCCACTTATTATTGTTTTCAGATGAAATAATTCGCCCAACATTGTTTTGCATACAGTCAGAATGGTTGCTAAATGTTTTAACACTAATCATGCAAACCATGCCAGCTTTCATTGCTGATTGTTGGCTACGTTTAACGGGTAGGTCACCCAGGTATGTATTTAACGCTTTTATTTAATGCTATATCGATTTTTTGAAAGAATAAGGGTAAAAAAACGAGCACATAGCCTACCTGGTTATTTTTTGGTTTTCCATACTATAACAGATTCACTGCTAAACTTTGCTTTTCATAACAAAAAGAATATCATCTGTAATTTGTAAAAGTTTTGTAGTCATACTATGACAAAAATTAAAGCAAGGGTTTGAAAATGTAAAAATTTTACGTATTAGAGCTGAGCAACAATTGGTCGGCTCGACCGGGGAGAGACCACACTCTCACAGAATATCAGTATGAAATAGCAGCTTTCATTTGATTTCATTTTGATGATCTATCCTCGATTAGGATTTAATTTAAATTCCTAATCGAAGATAGTCGAAGATGTCTATTTACCACAGTATCCAGTTACTATCAGGTAGACTGAATGATCATTTCTAGATATTTATTCATAAAAAAAGAATTTAAAGTAATTTAAAATGACTCAAACAAATTGATCTTGTCAACAGGTTTATGAAGATGCAGAGAAAGATACTACAGACACGTAGTGCTCTACAGTACTTTTCTTCACGTTCCTGGCAAATGAAGTGTCAACGCACTCGTGATCTATTTGCTTCACTATCGGTTTCAGATCGCCTCGAGTTTCCTTTTGATCCAACTCATATTAAATGGGACATGTATATACCAATCTATTGTATGGGTATTCGAAAGTTTTTAATTAAGGCATCATAATGCGTTTCGTGGACTGTATTCATTTTAAACGAATGCTCAGTGTTTTTTTTTATTTTGTGGATATTTATTATGTATATATCATTTCTATATTTAACACTGTAGATTGGCTCCATACACATCATATTAAAATTATTTGCGCCTCTACATCATTTGTAATATTTAAAACTGCAAGGAAGACACATCGTTTCTTTTACACTCGCTACACAGGAAAGAGGCTATATGACATGCTCCTTCACACAGTTTCTTATATTACAACAGGTGGCACGTCTTCTTTTTCATCAGCCCTTGGATGCCCAAAGGACAAGAGCCCCCCATCTACTATCCCCGTCTACAGGGGATTTGCCTTGGCAAGCTCATTTAACATTCAATATAGCCTATTTAAATATTAACTACTAAACATTTTGTTAGGTCATTATTAATAGATAATATTATAATTAAGAACTATTTTATATTGACGTACGTATATATATATATATATATATATATATATATATATATATATATAATAAAAAATAATATTATATATAATAAATAATAATATAATATTATATATATATATATATATATATATATATATATATATATATATATATATATATATGGGAGATGTGTTATCTCAAGGAAAGGGAGGAAAGGTAACCATTTAAAAATAGATGTTGATAAAACTGAAATAATTAAATTTTAACCTTGTAACCCATAACGATAACAACAATAATAATATTAAAAACGAAATTTGACCAGTACATTCAGCCAATTTTTAGACATAATTCTAGATAAAATTTTAAATTGGAAATTTTATAAAATTAATAAGTAAACTAGACATGTTCGTTTTGTTTGGGGACGTTTAAGATTTATAGCTTCTCAGTAAAGAGCCATTATTACCTATCATGTATACGTATCATCCATCTTACAATATGAATTAATTGTTTGGGGAAATTCCGTTAAAAACATAAACACTCACGCCTGTCACCCAGAGGGGTAGGCAGAGACTACAGACTTCCATTTGGCACGATCCTGACATACCTCTCTCGCCTCCTTCGCATCCATACACCTACGCATACGTGCTCGTCGGTTAAGGGTACTCCTAATTTGGCCCGTTTTCAATAAATCGCCAATTTGGTCGATAAATTTTCGCCTAGGACGTCCCTTTCCGACTCTGCCATTCACTTCTGCAACATAAATTTTCTTTGTCACTCTTTCCTCATTCATTCTTTCCACATGACCAAACCACCGAAGCATTCTTTTCTTAATCCTGGTCACAACATCATCTTGCAAACCACACTCTTCTCTTATTACACAATTTCTTACTCTGTCGTTCAGATTCAGCCCTAACATACTCCTTAACGACCGCATTTCTACTGCGTTGATTCTAATCTCGTACTTCTTCTGCCACACCCAACTTTCACTACCATACGTTAAAGTGGGGACCAAAACAGCATTGTGAATTGCCTTTTTTGACACATTTTGACTCTTCACAATAGAGTGCAGGGCCCCATTTACTCTATTTCCCGCATTTAAAAAAACATGTAAATTCCAAAAAAAATGTATAAGAGCGTTATTTCGTGTTGAATATTATGAAAACTGTACACCATTCTTTAAAAAAATATTGTTGCGTTTTCTGTGCATGGTAGAAATAAATGAGTTTTTGTGAAAAAGCATCAAAATTTATTTGCATTACACAATGAAGTGTTGGGGGAAAAAGTAATAAAAGTGGTCAGTACGACAAAACGCTAATTTCATATGTAAGGACCCAATATTAAAAGGACAAACTAACGAATAGCCACGGGTTTTTATCAGGTCCTTTTTATTTATTTTACTTTTATCTGTCGTGTTGTGAATATAAACATTTATTATTAAATACTACAACAGCGTAGCGTTGGTGGTACTTGTGACGAGGCATTCCATTTTAGTTCTCATGAGTGACAACGCATCTACATTTTGACTCTTAATCGAGGACAGGTATCTAAGTGCCCAAGTATCTACCATGGACTGTCAATGGATGAATTTCATATATAGAATCTGTGCTCGTTTGTCACTAATAAGGTATCAAAATGCAGATGCGTTGTCACCCCTGAGGGCTAAAATTAAATGCCTCGTTTCCAATAAAGGGGGTTTTCGGTTCTCTACACTCACCATACGGAACACAACGGCTTTAAGCTGGTATGGTACAAATAACAACGTAAATAAGAAATATAGTTGAATGTAATGTCAGAGACATTTGACGGATAAAGTCCTTACGGATAAGGAATGGAATTAGAAATAGCGGCTCGTAGAGTCCGTATCGTACCCAGTACTAAAGCGAAAACCAGCTTATAACGGTATATCGTTGTAACATTATATTATTCGGTTAATTGCAAGTTTTATATAAATGGGAAATATTTGAAAAGTATTTTATAGGCAAGGAGGTACATTAATTTTAAAATAACATAACTAGTGACCCGCTCTGGCTTCGACTGAGTGGCATCCATTAATAAGGCGTTATTTAATCTTAAGATATTCATTAAAGACCATTTATTTTATCTTATCGATATTTCTATTTTAATAAAGTCTCTAAATTTTTCGGATAAAATTTAGTCTATTATATAAATTATTATTTATTGTGAAGAAAACTCTTGTAGTGGGTCTAGCTCACAAAATATTATATTTTGTCATCACTGATTCAAATGACGAATTGGACAATGAAATTATAGAACGTACGAAAAACACATGTAGCATCTTATTTTTTTGCAGTTGGTGTGACTATAGATAGTGACAGTGTGCGAACGAGAGGTCAATAGAGGAGATGCCAATATTCAATCTCATTCTTTAACCTTATTATTACTGATTTATTTCCTTGAATAAAACTAAATTTACGGATTTTATCGCGTTTATTTCACTACTTTTACTTATTTTTAATTCCCGACGTTTCGGGTGCTTTACAGCAACCATGGTCACGGCCCCGCGGGACCATGGTTTACCATGGTTTACCATGGTTGCTGTAAAGCACCCGAAACGTCGGGAATTAAAAATAAGTAAAAGTAGTGAAATAAACGCGATAAAATCCGTAAATTTAGTTTTATTCAATGTGTAGTGTTCGCGTAAATTTAAGAAATGATTTATTTCCTTATTTAATAATTGCTTTAACTAAAAATAAAAATATTATGGAAACGATATCGAATCCTTTAAAATTGCAATGTTATCTATAAACATTAAAATAGCTATTTATATGTAAAAAAGATGAAATACACACAAAAGGAAGAGCTCTCGCACTTCACAGCCCGACATACTCGCCTAGATTTTTACTTTCATTACCGTTACCGTTATAGTCTATTGAAGTCCACTGCTGAGCATAGGGCCTCTGCCATAGAATGCCTCATAGGGGGGGATATTTGCCATAGTTGCCACGCTCAACAAGCGGGTTGGTAACCACAGTTTTATATTTATAGTCGTAATTAGGATGACGCTACTGCCCATTTCCAGATTTGTTTCCCTGTGTGGGGTCTTACGACCACCACGAGATGATATGTGGTGGGGGATATTTGTACACCACAACTACACGGTGGTTGGCTACTTTCATTATCGTGAAGTTTTATTGCTGATATTCCTTACCGAAGGGCGTGTGTATACAAGATTATTTTCTGTAATATATTGATTTAAGACTCGCTCTTTATGTTTTACTTCTGAACTACACGTGTCAAATTTATTATGTTTGGTCGGATGAATAAAAGCTATGTTATTAAAACAATTTGATTCATTATTGGACTGCAATATTTCCTTACCTGTCCAAAATATTAGCGAAATAGGTAGTTTTAGTGAATAGCCTCAGCGAAACTGGTATGCAATTTCACGCTCCGTAGCACCGCAAAGGTATCGGCCCACCGCATGTTTTTGTAATGATGTTATTGTTATCTCTTTGACTGTCTAGAGGTTATAAATGCGAGTGGTGATCACGAAGTCCCGGATTCAAGTCCCGGGTCGGGTAAGAATCAGTTACTGGATTTTTCCATCAAGAAATTCTCAGTAGCAGCCGGGAGTCAGGTAGTTGGTCGTGTTCTATATCCGTTCCTCTAAAAGCATATCAAGCCATTGGCTTTGCGTCTTATCTCTCTGGTCGTGTCGGATTACCGTTTCATCGGAGTGATGAAATAGAGAGTGCACATGTGTTTGCATGTATACTCGAGTGCTATAGACCTGTCTTGCGCAAATGGCTATTTTCCTTTGAGACTCACCGTCGCCACGTTCTGGTGGAAATTATTATTATTACTTCATTTCATTCTAGGTGAATGTAAAAAAAAACCCTCTGTTTTTCTTATGCAACAGAGAGCAGTATCAAGGCGGCTGCAATTGCAATCACTAATCCCCTTTTCGAGGGTGACCAGTACAGCAAATACTCTCAGAAATCTCGGTTGTCATAATTTTGTGATGAACCAAATGGCGGTGTAGGAGAATACTCTACACCATATCATCACCTGGTTGACGAAGCTAGCGATGGGCAGCATCTTGCTAAAGTCTGCGGTTGCTGATCTGCCTGCTAAGCGTGAAAACTGTAGCAAATATTCAAGCTCTACGGAAATATATGTTTTTTAAAGTACACGTTGATAAGTTGTAATAAAATAAACAAACTAATGTAATATTGTAGGCAATTAAAACGTCCGAATATAAAACCTACTTGTAGTGTGAATGTATTCCAGAAGGAAGCTTTATTTTCTTTATAGAATAAGGGTGACAAACGAGCACACAGTCTACCTGATGGTAAATGCGTGCTGTGGCCCATAGACATCTACATTTATCCTCGATTAAAAATCAAAACCCAGATGCGTTGTCACCCCTGAGGATTAAGATGGAATGCCTCGTTTCCTGTAAAAAGAGTCTCCGGATCTCTACATACACCATATGAAACACAACAGTATTAAGCTACTATTTTACGCTGGTATTCTGTAAGAGAGTGGTCCTTCCCCGGTCGAGCCGACCCATTCGTATTGCAACCAAAATATAGCTGCAGCGTGGCTCTACCACAAATA